GCTAATTGATTCTTAATAAAATAACTTTCAAAAATCAAGGACACAAATAATTCCTTAACCCATAATTTACCAGGAACCCAGCACTCATTTATTTATTCATTCATTCAATATATATTTATTGGCACAACTAGCATATATGGAAGACACTGGATACAACCAAAAATAAGTTATAATCCCTGTAATTATTACAGGATAAAACAATACAATTCCTGTTTTCAAATAGTTCATTTAAAATCTTGTTCAAGAAGCAACCTGTGACAAACTGATACATTCAGACTCTGAGAAAAAGAATCAGGTTTGGTCTGTTTCAACTTTTATTTCACAAAGTTTCCAAGGAACGTGATTAGGTTCTCAGGATATTACACTTTTACTTACAACAACCTATTTATTATTTTTCATATTTTCTAAACAGGAATTTAACATATATTATTGATTTGTTGCTTGTATCAATCCTGTGATGCAGGCAAAGCAGGAGATACAACATCCATTTTACAGATAACACACTTAGAGCTCAGGACACAGATTTCTATTAGGTCACACAGCTAGTAAGTGGTACATCCATTACTTAAAAAACAGGGTCTTTTTAGACCTAGATTTGCTTTAAGCTTTAATTGTTGTTTCTAAAACCATGTTCAAATCAAATAATCTACTAACAGGTGTAATGGAAGCTAAGGGAAGAGAATATTGAATAAGGAATTTTAAATTTCAACACAGAAGTCAAGATAGATAAGAACTGAAATGTGCCCTTGAGATTTAGTGACACAAGTCAACAACAACTTTGCCAAGTCATTTTCAATAGACTAGAAGGGACATAAGACAGCACAATGGATTGGTTATTGGGAAATAAAGAACCAGAGACAGGAGTATAGATCCCATCAATCACTTATTCATTTATCATACCTTCATTCCTTCATTAAAATTTTCTGAGGAAATGTTTTTGCCTGGCACTAACTGAAGAATTTAGGTTGTGAAAGAAGTAGGGCATATCATTGTCGTTAAGATAGAAAAGATATGAGAATATTTAATCTGATGGATAGTCACCAATAGAGATGGAGATTTTGAAAATATGGCAGAGAAAGGCATTAACAGATCAGACCAGGTCCCTAAGAAGGTAAGCAGGTGGAGGAATTACTCTTGTATAAAGAGTGCTCTTCCACTGTACCTGTGTAGTTTCTGTCTCATCATTGAACCCTGACTTACACCAAAAGGAAATCAGGGCATTTAGAAAGGCAACTGGATGCTGAATAGCCACAGAACTATAAAGTCCATCTTGCTGTAGGCTCTGCTTATTTCTCCAGTTTCATCTCTCTTCATTTCCCCCATCATTGCAAAGATACTCCATTCATACTGATGTAAACATAATGTCCTACATTTTCTTTGCTTCATTTGTGGTACCTAATGTTCTTCATAACTTCATAAAGATTACAAATCCTTATGTAATAATATCCGGAAGTCATTACTGACCACTCCATACTCAATCCTTGTGCTCTTATAGTACTTTCTGTGGACCCATACAGTAACTTGTCCTCTGCATTTTGTCTTCTCCTTCCTTACATGAGATTTGTAAGCTCTTTAAGGACTATGACTATGTCTTATA